GGGGGGGGGGGGGGGTGTGTGTAGCGGGTGTGGAAATGAGCCTTTTCACTGCAGATTGCACTAGTTTGCTTTTTCCTCATCACTAACGGTGGAGGCAAATCCTTAAAGGCACAGCAGGCACAGTGCTCTCTGGGAGCAGAATCCTCACTGCTGAAGGACAGGGCTTCTACTTGAACCCGAGAGGATTTAGGCAGCTAAACGACTTGGCAAATCTGACCTTGCTGCTTTGGGGGATCTGGTACCTGCCACAAAAAACAGCTCAATGTGGTGGGATTAATTCCACAGTTGTCATAACCCACCAATAAATCAGTGGCTTTTTGGCTTGGATTTGTCTGGATCTTTCTCTGCCCTAAGTCACTTCCTACAGGGATTCAGGGCTCATGAGTGTCAACAATGCAAAAATCTGTATAAAAATTTGCACTAGTGTTTTGCTGCTTCAGCATGGATGCAACCCTCAAGGTGCCCCAGAGACTGAAGCACCTGGGTGCCCTGTGGGGCTGAGGATAGGGTTATAGACACTTCTAAAAGTTGCTTGTAATACCTATACTGTATTTCTCCTTTGCATTCCTGGAGGACTTCAGTTCTCAATTTGTAATGTGGGAGGTTAAAATCTACTCACTACTGTAAGCAATTCAGGGACTGGATAATTTTCAGGCTCTTTGTACAGCGCCTATCACAATTAATTGCATGACAAGGCTTTCTATGTAATATAAATAAACCAGTAAAACCATCAGGATAAGAATAATTGTAAAAGACACTGTCTCCCCTCTTTTCCTGCTCTGCTGCAGGATAACGCTGTCTCTGCCAGGCAGTAAAGGCATCCTGGCCCTTTAAGAGCAGCAGTTCCCAGAACAACTCTTCCTGGGAGCTCTGGAGCAAACTAGGGCGGAAAGCCTGAGCTCGCTAACTGAGAGGTAAGGGCCGAGGGTCTGATCTTTAACTTCATCCTGCAGCTGTGGGTCAGCCTGTTTGGAAAAAGGCCATCCCTGGGGGTCTGCATACCATGTGTTTATAGCACTGTAGGCATATTAGTACAAATGACAGCAACCCCAGGGCCGACAGCGTGCATTGCATCGAAGGGACATGGTCCAGGTACAAAGATCAAGTACTTGAGACTTAAACTAACTCCTTTATGCTGAGCCAGTGTATGAAAAACCCACCTACTGTATCGTAGTGTAGCCTAAAATCAAACAAATGGCATAGGCGTATGCAAGAGGATCCTATCTTGGAAGCCTCTCAGGAATTTCAGCAGTGTTCCCTCTGACAAGGAAAGGACGCAGGGATCCCCCGGGACAGTCGCAGACAGGCAAAACTAATGTCTGACTCTCAGTGCCCTCCAAGCTGCTCCTGCAAATGGCCACGACTGCTGGACAAAGCTGGGCTGCTGTGGGAGCAAAAGAAACATGGCTGGGCTCTGGGCTGAGCCTTTAAGATATTTGGCAATCTGGTTTTAGAAGGCAGCCTGGGCCAGGGCTTGCTGGCTGCCACAGCCCTGTTGCTAGTGCAGCGGGAACAGCTGTGGCGAGGTGAAAAGCTGCCTCCAGGCAGGCAAGACAGTGAATGCTGGCTATGGGAGTGCTTCCTGTCTGCCTTCCCTCATCCCACCCATTCTGTACTGTAGCTACAACCTGCTTGAGCCTCTTGAAATATTTCTTGAGATCACAGCAAATTTCAAGCCTATGAGGCACACCAGGATAACAGACTCGCTTGGGCTCCTCCTGGTCAAAGAGGTTTGGCTCAACACTGTCACAGTAGAAGATGTTTCTACCTGTCTACAGAAAAGGGCTAAAAGTGGGAATAGAAAGAAAAATGAGGCAGAGGACTATAAAATTAATTTACCAGTGTACACATGTGCTGTCTGTTGGGGAGGGAATGGCTTTCTACAACCAGTGTTTTCAAGGACATCGTGCCAGAGATTAGTGCCCTTGTCCTAAAAAAGGGATGGGAAAAAAACCATAAAATGTAGTATCAAAAACTCATTTTTTCCATGTAGCTTCTTTGGGTCCTTTTGAAGTGAAAATGTTGATTCCTTTTTCCTCTACTGGGATAGGCATCTATTTTAATACATTCTCCTGTGTTTTTGCATCAGCCTGTCTGAATCCTGACACCAGTGGAGATCAGGAACAATACAACTAAGTTAAGTGAATTGTGCTGCTGGCATAAAAATTGGGATTGAAGTCTAGAGATGAGGTGATTTGATTTGCTTACCTGCTGGGGCAGGGGTATCTCCACTTACGTATTAGAGGTGGGATTTGCAAGAGCTCCCAGCATTCACTTGAGCACTGGCACGGACATCAGGTTGAACTGCTGGTGGCTCCTAGGGGAGCAGCTGGGCCAAAGCTGAGAACAGTCACTGGAAGGTAATCTCTCCCATCTCATCTACATCAAAAACATTTTGGAAAAGCATCCCAGGGAATGTGTGACTCATTTCAAGGAGCAATAAATCCACGTGTCTTTTAGAAATTAATACAGTCCTTAGCAAATTGTGAATTGTTCTACAAAACAAATACCCTTGCATGGAAATAAGAAAAATGAAATCTAAATGAAAGGTGAAAGAAACCCTTGGAGATACCAGATGAATCAGTGGATTAGAAGCCTTACAGGGAACCTTTTGCATCTTGGCCATGCAGCCAGTACCAGACATGAAGACACAAAATCTGTTCAATACTATGAGCTAAAACTAGGGCCTTTGGTTTATAAAAGATGGTAAAAGAAAAAAGCTGCTGAGTATGTCTTGAATGTATTATTAGTAATTATCAATTTCTTTGACCCTTAGGTTAGAAAACTTAACAGTTACTTCCTTTCAACAGCTGGGCTCAAAGCTCAGTTTGAACTCCACATGGAAACTAAAGAGCTTAAGAACACAACAAGCCACATGGAAGCCTCTCTGCACTGAAATTAATCCCAGTTAGCTTGAAGTAATGAATGTAAAACCTTTCCAGTTAAATTACCCGGGGAATAAATCAAGAATTGCTTATGTGATATGGTGAAAGAAACAGTAAGAAATTGCTGTGACTTGTATGCTGGTATGGCCTAGCAGATTTTCTGCAAACCTGTTGTCAGTTTTATATTTTTTTTCTCTCCTGGGACCCTCACCCAGGGCCAGAGATTCTGTTGGGCCACATGCTCTCTCTTCCCATAAAATGACATCCCCCTCGCTCAAAGGCAACATCTGAGACAGAAAGCATTACTGTCACCTGCTGCTATCATCTCTTTTTTTTAAGGACTATAGATGACACAGGCAGGTCTAGCTTGAATTCATCTTATACCAAGGACACAGGTTTCTTTCAAATCCTCAATAAAATGGCCTAGGCTGCATTTGCAGGCTGGTTAACCAATGCTACAGAAATAAGAGTAAACCCCTTGACAGCTGCACAACAGTAACTAGCTATTTTTCTGCTCACACAGGCAAAATGAACATTCAGGAGTATTTTGCAAGAATTTCTTACAATGAGTCCTATAAGGATGCAGACTTGCAAACCTTAACAGCCATCTTCCAGCATCACATCCAGGCAATTCCTTTTGAAAACCTTAGCATGCATTGTGGGGAGACCATTGAGCTGGATTTACAATCTACTTACAATAAGATAGTGAGAAAGAAACGCGGTGGCTGGTGCCTGGAAAACAACCACCTCTTATTTTGGGCCTTGCAAGAATTAGGGTATGACGTCTGTATTCTTGGAGGAAATAGTTATGATCCAGCAAAGAAGGCATACACTGCTGAGATCAATCATATCCTTCTGAAGGTGGTGATCAAGGGAAATTCCTATATAGTAGATGCTGGCTTTGGTGGTGCCTACCAGGCATGGCAGCCATTGATGCTGATTTCTGGGAAGGACCAACCCCAGATCCCTGGCATCTTCCGCTTCATGGAAGACAATGGCACCTGGTACTTCGAGAAGGTCAAAAGGAAGCATTGTATTTCTGAGCAAAGTGCCCCTCCCCCTGATACTCCAGAAATGGGAAATATCAGGAAAATTTATACGTTCACTCTTGAGCCACGACATATAAAAGACTTTGAGGAACTAAATGGATACCTCCAAGTGTCTCCAGATAACATACTTCAGAAGAAGTCAATCTGCACTCTCCAAACCACTGGAGGGCTTTATGCCTTAGTTGGATGGACCCTCACTGAGATGAAGTACAGCTACACAGAAGACATGGACCAGGTGCAGATCACAACTCTTACAGATGAAGAGGTTGAGAAGACCCTGAAAGACAAATTCAATATAGTGCTGGAGAAGAAACTCGTACCAGTGAATGTTCGTGGCTTGCCACCTAATTTAGTGGATACAATCTAATTCTAATGGTGTTCTAGATGGATCTTTAAATATCCAATATAAAAAGCTCTAAAATTAACATTAATAACATTCATATGATTCTAAAGTTGAGCTAGTGAGATGAACACAAAGCTTGGGAAATGCAAGTACATTGCTAACTAACTGCATATACTGAATATGTATATTTTCTTAAGCTTCTCCTTCTTTTTAAACTCAGACATCTTACTACCTCCAATTTGCCTGTATGGAAATTGCTTTTTTACTCCATAACTCTTTGTTCCACTTCTCTGAATCTCATTTTATTTCAGATATATTTTGTGGCAGAGGAGACCAAAACGCTACAGAAAGAGAAGCTGCGTTACCATTTTACACAAAAGACCTCTAACCTTTTTTTCAGTATTATTTCCAATCTTTTTCTCAGCAGAGTTTTACGAATTATTCACTTCCTTTAACAGTCTGTAATAGAAAAATGAGCTGAATTTGGCTTTCAAAGACTTCATAAAAAAAAAAAAAAGGTTAAGACTTCCTCAAAACAAGCCACTATTAGGTGCTTATTAGCTTATGATGAAGTAAGTTGAAAGACTTGAGTCCTACTCACCAGAAATTCACTTGAAGTGAGCTATTTATGCAAGGACACTTAAAAAACCCTAAAAGCTCTCTAATTTTGAGTGTCCAATTTTTCTGAGTCTGATTTTTCTGTGTCTCTGAAATGGAAACAAAATCAATGGAAGCTGAGGCGATTCAAGAGTTCTTAAAAATCAGCCTTTTGGTATAAAAAATGGAAGCAATCAAAGTTAGATCCAACTATAATCTCAACTTTTGGGGCCTGACCTTCTTGCGATGTCAAGCAGGCATGACAGTATAAAAATCTTATTTATTACAGTATTCTGCACAAAAGCTGCCTTACATAAGTAATAGTGCAGATATGAAAGAAAATTAGGGAAATTAGGACATGCCACCTGTGTGGTTTTACAGCACGTTATATGTAGCACAAAAGCCTTTTACCTTCATGATATCTGTGACAGGTACTGTGCAGGATGTGTCATGAAAGAAGGTGATGGAAGAGCATCAGTCCTTAGGCAAGGAAAAGTCTTTGATGCTTGTATGAGTCAACCATGGGGGCACCTGGTGTGCCTAAACCTCAGGTGCTTTCCCAGATGCAGCCTGATTTGCTTTTTGCCTTCTCAAGAACAACCTCTGACTTTCCACCTCCACCAAATGAAGAGGAGACATGCTGGACAGGGCGAGAATGAAAGGAATAGCCCTGCAACACTTGAAGATGAAGGAGGGCAAGTTTTAGAGAGGAAATGCATGATTTGCTGCAAATAAATATTTATCATGGCATTTGTTAGATGTGGCAGCAATGACCTGCAGTGGAAGCACTAACCAGATTGAAAAAGTTCCTTTGTAAGCATAGAGGGGTCATTTTGTGCACCCACAGAGTGTGGGAAAACAGAGCCTGCAAAACCTTGGCAATTCAGTGCACCCACAAGGCAGCAGATGACTCTCCTCCACTGCAAAGTGCTGGTTTGAAAAATAACAATGATTTAATAATAAATAAATTACAGAGCTGTTTGCAACTGTCTACTGTAATTATTTTACATGCAAACAAGTTCAGTCTGGTCTTAACCAGGGGAAAGCATGAACATAATAGAGAAGAAACAAAGTTTAATTTGCTCACGGATCAGTGAAGTTCAAAAATGTGCATTCATTTTGGGTGGACTCTGCCCCTTCTCTGCATTTAAGGTTCAAGAGCGAGAGCCAGCAGAGCTGAAAGAGAAAGGACAACCCTTGCAATTTGTATCCACTCCTGGCTTTACTGACTGCTGCTCCAGTCATAAACAACTCAGAAGCTGAATACATCAATAAATAAATAAAGCTTTTAAGAGGTAAGTTTATTTTTTTTAAGAAACCTCAAAAAAGCCCAAACAACAAACTTGGTTTATTTATGATGGTAAAGGTCATGGGCAATAACATAAGCAATATTATTTTTAGGAAAAACATAAAAATGTGTGGATTTAGAGCTCAAATATCACCTCCTAAAACTGATCCTAAAGAGGGCAAAATAACTTCTGTCTTTCTGCTCCTCAGGAGATTCTCTTGACTATGAGAGAGATGCTTTTGTTTAAATACAATGTTAGGTACAAATTTACAAATAAAACTTGTTGTGCAAATTATTATTTTAGATTTTTATATTTACAAATACTGCAAAGGAAGCCAAAGAGCAATCAATAATATCTTCTTTTTTTTTTTTGGAATAAAGTTACAGACTTTTAAAAACAACTTTAAAAAAATGAAATTACAAACTGTGGTTTGTGTACCCCAGGAAGTCCATGTGCCTACATACTAGGATAAAAGTAGACAACATGTTTTAACAGTAGAATTGCTGATAGTGTGTACAGTTCTGTTAAGGAATATTTTTACTTTAACACCTTCATTTGCACATTTCTAAATAGTGTTTTAAAGTTCTTCTGCTGATATTTTTCTCCACATAAATCACACCCACATCTGGGTGACTACCTTTTACAAGTCAAAAGAACTGCAGCTCACATCTCCTGCAGTCAAAATCTAATGCTGATCAATCATAGTATGTAGCTACAGAGAGAAATTACAAATGATACAAACTTGAGAACCAGCTTTATCCTGGTGTGATCTATTTAGCATTCACAATTTGAGCAGGTAGGATTAGACAGATTTGGATTTTGCAAATCAAAGAAAACAATGCCAGAAGTCTTACGTTCTACTTAACAACGATCACATTGAAAATATCCTCCAACAATACATATAAATGTCACTGGAAGCTAAATGCCTTTCTGTAGAAAATAAACGGCAGTTTTTGGTGGGCTGCTTCTATACCTTGCAGATGCACATCATGGATCTGTCATTGAAAATCATCTTGAGAAATTCTAGTTTGCAGTAAACATTCAATGGTTCACCGCTGAATTTATCTGAATACAATAGTCTTCCTGAGTCACTAATATTAAAGTGTCTAAACCTCAGCTTACTGTATGCACAGAAGATTTCCAAGTAGCTTTCTGGGCTGTCAAGAAGCTAAATATTTGCAGTAATAGCAAACAGCAGTCTAGACTGCTAAAAGGCTTAGTGCTTTCTTTGCAAAGGTTCAAGCCTTCAAAACACTTTGTGCCCACCTCTACAGTCTATTTTACAAACAGATACCTACAGACCATCCAGCTCATAACCATGGCCAGCAGACTGTGCCGGGCCATTGCAAAGCCAGATGATTGTGTGTGAGTTTCCACAGTATTAAAAGGCAGAAAGTAAGTTGAGTAGTTCCTCATCCCAGCAATCTTGCTCGTGAGGATTCCTACCAAGGCAGGCCAGGAGGTGGGCACTGCTGGAGGCTGGACTGACCAGGGATGCAATGTACCAGGCATTGGTAATTCTCAGTTACACCTCCTCTGGAAGGAATAAAGTGAGTTTTGAGATGGTCCAGGAGTAGAGAAGTGTAAAGTAGCCTCTGTCCATTTTCAGGTCACCCTGTGAGATGTGGGACACTGAAGGGAATAAAGATACACTCTTTGTTTTTTAGGTCACCTGCCTCCAATCAGATTTATTATTCCACACCAAAATGAGTTTGTGAAACACTCAGAGTGGACAAGAGACTCAGTGGCTTGTGACTTTTGCATAGGTCAGAGGTTTTTTCAGTTATAATTATCCAAATTAAACTTGACACTTCACAAAATGTGCAAGGAGTATCATTTTCACTTTCTGTAAGTGGTGAAAGAACGGTGTGCACTGAACAAGCAATTCATTTGCTGTCACACAGATCAGTGACAGACTTGTGAAAAAAACGTGATTCCTTACTCAAATTATCTTCCCTCCAAGTGGCAGCCAACACGTCTTCCCCCTCTTACACTCTCACTGCACAGTGCGACTCATTTTCATGAACCCTCCTGAACACTCCCTGGTGTGATCTTGCATTTCTCCTTAGCCTTGCTGCAAATGCAAACACAGCACATCCCCGTTCTGCAGCCATTGCACAGCAGGCTGAAATGGCATCAGCTGTTTGCCATGGGGATGACTCCAAGACAAAAAGCAAACCCTCATGGGCACTTCACTTCTTTGCTCAGGGAACCATTTGGTATGAATACTTGCTCCCTTAAAAACTGCTCTGATGAGGTTCACTAGATTAAAGCATCTTTGCTGGCAGCAGCCTGGGCAGTTTTTCACAGCATTGTAAATCACTGATGTTAAGAAAGAAAACCAAACCCCATTTCCTTCCTTTACAGGAGACATGAACCTGGAAGAGTATTTTGCGAGGACTGGCTATAAAGGTTCCCTTGAAAAACAAGATTTGGAAACCCTAACCAACATATTCCAGCACCACATCCGTGCTGTTCCCTTCGAGAACCTCAGTATCCATTGTGGGGAGAAAATTACTTTGGAGTTGGAGCAGGTTTATAACAAAATTGTGCGGAGGAAGCGGGGTGGCTGGTGCATGGAAAACAACCAGCTGTTGGGCTGGGTCCTGAAACACCTGGGGTACGACACCAGCTTTCTGGGAGCCTACGTGTTCAATCCACATCAAAATGCATATGCCACCATCATGACCCATCTTGTTGTAAAGGTCATTATTGAGGGCAGAGCTTATATTGTTGATGGAGGCTTTGGGGTGTCCTATCAGATGTGGCAGCCGATGGAGCTTGTGTCGGGGAAAGACCAGCCCCAGGCTCCCGGCATCTTTCGTTTCACAGAAAAAAATGCCATCTGGTACCTTGAGAAAATGAGACGGAAACAATATATTCCTAATCAAAACTTCTCCAATTCTGATCTTCTGGAGAATAAAGAGTGTCGGAAGGTTTATATGTTCAGCCTGGAGCCACGGACAGTGGAAGATTTCCGTTCCCAGTGCACGTACCTTCAGACATCTCCAGATTCCCTCTTCACAAAGAAGTCCATCTGCACCCTCCAGACCACCGATGGTTTTCGAGCTCTAATTGGGTGGACACTCACTGAGACCACATACAACTACAAAGAAAACATGGATCTGGTGGAATTCACAACTCTTCAGGATGAAGAGGTGGAAAAAACCCTCAAAGAGAAATTCAGCATAACCCTAGACCAAAAACTTGTCCCAATTAACGTAAAAGGATTTTACACGATCTAGATGACCAAGAAAACTGGTCACCTAGATCATAATGCTATGTATGTACAGAACCCTCCACCGTCTGTGCAATCATGACTGTAAGATTATGGGATTCCTTTGCAGGCAACTGAAGGAAAAATACATTAACACCAGATTAAAGTGAATTTAATTCTGGGAAAAATAATGAATTTAAGACTCTTCTGTCAGGTAGACAGAATTATTTGCTGTGAGATGGCTGCAGTTCAATTTTTGGCACAAACATAGGATCTGATTTGAATCTGGTTGTTAACTCAGATAATAAACATGTCTGGGGACTTTTGGAGTGCCTATAGCACATAAATAGGAGTATGGGTTATTAATTGTGATACACTGCCAACACTTTTTCTATGTTTATTTTAAGGAGAAAAGTAATCTATGAATATTTAGACAAAAGAGTACACATTTAAAACCTCATTTTTCACAAGATCTAACCACTCACAGCTCGTCTCATTTCTCTACCTTTAATATAAGTAAAACAACACAATCTTTGAAAAAAGCATTAGAGGGTATAATTCTTTCACCATCATCCCTAGACGAAACACAGAACAATTACCATCACGTGCATCCCTTTTACCATTACTGCAGCAAACTGCCCAAAGTAATTTTTGGTCTGTATGTATTTTTCCGGAGATGAAAATTGCATATATTGCAGTGTTATTGTGGCTGATGGGCTCTAAGAAGATACCTGCAAGCTTTGCTTTTGAAAAAGTAATCATCTTGTCAAGGGTGAATGGTGCTTGAACGTCACAACTGGCTTAAATTTACTTCTGTCCCCAAAGGGGTGGACATTTTCTATTTTTAGCATTGTGAGTTATTTGTATAACAAAGGCAGAAGAATGAAGCTGACCCCATTGTGCCCTGAATTCTGCCCTCTTTGTGCACAGCAGATCTGGGAGTCCATACAGCTACCCTAAATAAGTACCACTTAGCACAGAAGATTTAGTTAATTTATCTGTATCAAAGTGAAAAATATCAAGGAGGAAACAAAATGTAAAGGAACCCCTTTCTTTAGAATGATTTCGCAGTCACATTTCTCCATTAAAAAAAAAAAAAAAAAAAAGTTACTCCCCCACCATGCTTCTTTGCAAAAAGCCCAACCAAGGAAACCACTGAGAAAGGCAAAACATTCTCACACACATAAAAAAATTAGCAGTAATACTGAAAAGCACCCTTTCTCCTCAATCTTTGACAATCCTGAGTATTGGTCAAATGTTGATTCCTCCCACTGACAGTAATTTTGCTCAAAGATATCACTTGATGATCAATCTCACAAATGCTGTAACTGCATACCTGATAATAAATAAAGGAAAATAAAAACAAAGAGTTGCTGTAAATACAGCCTCCCCCTGCAACTGTATGACTTTTGCACATTCCATTTGCAAAGTAAATGAGATCTGTTCAGTCGTGCTATTGATTTGCTGGATAACCCTCCTCACCACAAACTTCTTGCACCAAACAGGCCAATATTGAACTAATTTGATAGCAGTGTTACTAAGTACCTATGGGTTCCTGGAAAAAGAGCTTGTAAGCTGAGGAAGATGATGATCATGGAAGATGAGGCCCAGGAGTCACTTTCTCTGCTGGGAGATGACATGCATGGGGACAGGGAAACAAGGGCCAAGCAGGAGGTGACAGGGGACACTGAAAGATATTACTGAGTTAGGAACACAGTTTTTCCATAAATAATGGAACTAAGAATTTTGTTCTCTAATTTGTGTTCATATAATTCTGTCATACTAAGGTCTCATTAGGGGTTTTTACCCCTTTCTAAATGATTGATTAAACTGAGTTGTTCCCGAAGACCCCAAGGAACACTACGAGCTTCAAAACACTCACCACCTCCATTCTAGCTGACAGAAATACCCATCTGCATTCACCTAGGTCACAAAACTGTTATTTCTCTATGCAGTGAGCTACAGTTGTTTCCTGGGGCTGCTGCCTTTGAGGACAACCACTAACAGACTGGATCTTTTGCTTCCATACTTCTCTAGACATGTTCCTGCTGTTGCTCCCAGGTAATTGCTCAGGTTATGGTGTGTGAGGGTTTCTTGGGAAGAAGTTTCCAGGCTCATATTGGCATTTTTAACTGGGCCTGCAGTGATGGGACTCAACCCAGATACCCCCTTCTACTACTCAGTTCCTACTAAAGATTTTCAGGGCTGTCAATTACTTGAAGCCTCAACCTTCTCTCCCCAGCTCCATCACCTCTCTCTGAGTGAGATTTTTCCTCTCGATGTGACTGTTATAACCAGGTCCTCACCATGTAACATACCACACAAGGAACATCAACACATACAACTGAGCAACAGTCTCACAGTGTAACTAAAGCTTCCCAAAAGGGAGGAAAGCGGGTTACTCAGGTATGAAGTCTCACAGGTTTGAGACAAGAATGGTGTAAAAACAAAGCCAAGCAAACCCAGAAGCCTCCTGCTGGGGTTGCATTAGCAAGGCTACTGTCTAAGGCAGATGCTCTCCCAGATGCAGACCCCTGTCTAAGGCAGATGCTCTCCCAGATGCAGAAGAAACAACCAAATCTTTAAAGCATCAGCTCTCAGAGAAACTTGCATTCACATGCAGAAGAGAAACAGGGATGTCTGACATCCTTCACCACCACTATGCATTTGAATGTTCCAAGTTTCATGTGCAGCTTTACCTTGTGCAGTTTTTGTTGTTGAAATGAAGCAGAACAAACACTTCAAACCCCCACCCAGGACCTGTGTAATTCCAAATGCAATTTAAAAGTATGGTATTCTAGGTAACAGGAAGAGGAGACAGTTTCCCAGCCCAGCTGCCCATTACACACAAGCAATGCCCAATGGCAACAACAGCCATCCACGGTTGTAGAATTGTCTAATGTAGTGTCTTCTTAGAAAACAAGACACAGAAGGAACACGGTTCAAACTCTGTGACACCACTGAACATCCTTCCACCTCCCCAGAGAATCAAAGTTTAATCAGGTCATGCATTACTAAAGGCTCACTTCAGCTGGACTCTATTCCTGGACTCTGTAAGACGCAGTACTAAGCAGAATAAAAGTAACAAAATGAGAAACATCAGCAAAAAAGATAAAGTTGTTCAGTACTTCCATGCTTCTACCATCAGCAGTTACTACAGAAATAAAAACTGAGCCTGCCAGAGGTAGGGACAAAACTTCACCCAACTGCAGAGACTTGCTTAAACTTTTAACACTGGGAGCTGTCAGAGAACACAAACTACAACCTGCTTTGCTTTGTTCACTTCAATAGGTACCTTGGTGTTACAGGCACAAACACTTCTGGTGCCTGATAACTCTTTACCCATTAAATTTTGCAGGTAACCATTTTCCTTTAACAGAAATGCTTACTACTTACCCAACTTGCTTTTGTTCTCAAGGAAGAAATCATGCTTGGTTTGTTTTCTTATTTATTTGAAACACAACCACACAGGAAAGTTCAAGAGCTCAGGAAGTTGCACATGAAAATGCACCTGCATTTGAGGCTGTGTCAGAGCCAAGAAAGCCTGAATTCACATAGGTTCACATTATGAATATTTCACCTCTACACTTACATCTCTGTCAAGAGCAGTTCAAGCACAGATTTTACACCACCCTGGCTGGGAGGCTAGAGCCAAACACATACATATATGTAGGTATTTAAAAGGTTGGAAATATAGACAAGTATTTCAGAAGATTCCACCATAAAACACCCACTTGTAACTCTGGGCACTTAAAACCACACACCACACGCCTCAGGTTCCCAGCCATCCCTGAGGGAACGGCGGGGAATTCAGGACCAGCGCGCGGCAGAGCCCCCTCAGGCCGCACCAGATGACCCCCCCCTTGGACCGAACAGAACCCTGAGGCAACAGAACTCAAGACACGGCGCTGTGGCAAGGAGAGGTACCCCGGTTTGAAGGCTCCGGGACGGCGATGCCGGCTATGCCCGCTGTTCCCGCTCACCTGAGGCCCGGGAATCCCGCCCGGCTCGGGGGGGCGCGGCTTGAGGGAGGGGCGGGACACGTGACCGGCC